AATAGATTCGTCACATTGTAAATCATGCAGACACTTCTTTTCAACCGAAGTAAGGTTTGGTTTTAAAACCGTGGGTTTTTTTAAAGTATTAACAATACCAAATCTATGGTAATCTCTAACGTCAGGTGTCAAAGAAGATAAAGCAGGTTCAATAGAAGCTATTATGTCAACATTGGACACATGACCAGGGGCAATACCGAAGTTTAAACCTTTGCTCAAAACATGTTTTTCCTTATCTTGTAATATCCTACTCGAGATGTTGACTACCAGTTTGTCCAGCCGATCGGCGTTATCTGATGTTACGTTCAAACTTGCACAATGGCCAGCACGTTGTTTGTTCTTACTTTGCAATAATCGTTCAAACTTAACTTTTTGTTTGACGCCTTTGGAATTATAAACCCTGTCATATTTTAACCGGAATTTGAATAAAATTGGTTCTAAATCCACCATATCCATAGTATCCATTAGCCTACACTTTAACAAATCCACTCTTTCGCTATTTATATACTTAGCTAATCTTACTTGGTTAATTCTGTTGCGAAGAAGTTTGTTACTGGCTTCAAGCAATATTCCGTTAGATTTATTGTCCTTTAATGGTGATTTTAAAAGTAATCCATCAGGGATAACCCCGCTAGCTCTGCATTTTATTAAGAAGGTCAAGTGGTTGGCGTTAAGAGCTTTCTTTATTAAAGCTTTTTCCAGATCTTTAACCATGTGTAAAACTCCGGGCCCATACCGGGTACAAATTCTATTCTTAAACGACATGGTATATTAGGTGAGGTCAATACTTCAGTATGATAATATTTTTGTTGGGCATCACTCACCTTATTGAAGTCACGAGAACGTAGTCCTTGTCATGTCACAATCATACACAGTTCGTTGCACATAAAAATATACAAAAATAAAAATAAAAATAAATACAAATTTAAAATATCAGACAAAAGTTCTCAACACCGACGTTTCGCCGCACCAAAATCAACGTGCGGCGTTTTCAAGGTTATTTCTCTTCTCACGCAATCGTTGTGAGCGCCTAACCACGACTGACGACCCCGGTGGTGGAGGAGGGGGAGGGGGGGCTCTGTTATCAAGAACAGCTGATGGCATTATCTTCTTTTGTTTAGATTTTTCTATGCATCCTTTAATTTCTTTCTCTATTAGTGTATTGTAAACCGGGCTGATATCAATGGATGCGTTGGCTAATGAATCTTGATCTGAAGTAATAAACAAAGCCTCAATAATATTCCTTTTCTTCCAATTAGGCTCCTTGTATAATATACAGCTTTCCTCCCACTTTATACAATGCCCGGTGTCATGAACGTGTTCAGATATTTTTGAACCATAGGTTACACGTGTATCAACTTTTTTCATGTGTTCATGAACCCGTATGAGAGCCGGTCTTGAAGTTTGACCTACATAGCTACGTTTACACGAGCATGGGACCTTGTACACCACGTTTTTATTGTCATTACCACAGTTAGGAGGTTTCACTTTAGATACCTGTCTTCTTATCGTGTTTTTTGAGGTAAAGACCGTCCTAATACCTTGCTTAGCATTCACGCGCCGTATTTTCTCCGAAAGGTTTTTAATATACGGAATGCATACTGTGGCCAGAGGTTTGTTATCTTTAGGTGGTAAACTTGTATCAGAGCTGGATATTTTTCTTAAGGCTTTATTTATGAATCTTTTAGGGTACCCACTGTTAAGTAAGCGGTTTTTTATAGTTACTACCTCATGCTGAAAAGTCTGTTCATCACTACAGATTAGTTTCGCCTTTTTAATAAGCCCAATTATTAAACCTAATTTTACGTGGTCCGGATGGTATGAATCAAAATGCAAATATTGTCCTGTTGCCGTAGGCTTCTTGTACATACTGGTATGCCAAGTGTCCGAGGACCTATCCACCATTACATCTAAGAACGGAAGTTTACAATCATTTTCAAATTCAATAGTGAATTTAATAGTATCACAAATGCTGTTTATATGCTCCTTGAACCTATTAAGCTCTGAAATGCCACTTTCCCACAAGCAAAAAACATCGTCCACGTAACGCAACCATAACCTAGGCTTAACCTCAGCTGTTGTAATAGCTTTATGTTCAAAGTCATCCATGAAGATGTTACTTAAAATGGGACTTAGTACACCTCCCATTGCCATGCCAGCCGTTTGGGCGTAAAAAGTATCTTCAAACTGGAAGTAATTGTTATTTACACAGACCGTGAGCAGTTCCATGATTGAGTCAATTGGTAGTTTAGTTCTCTCAGGAAGAGTGTCATCAATCATCAATTTTTGTTTAACAATCTCCAAACATGGGACAATAGGTACATTGGGAAATAGATTAGTCACATCAAAGCTGACCATTATCGTCTTGTCATTAAGAGTATAATCCCTTATTGTATATGATGGTTTGTATGAATGGTTTGTATATGATAAAAAAAACCCACGGTTTTAAAACCAAACCTTACTTCGGTTGAAAAGAAGTGTCTGCATGATTTACAATGTGACGAATCTATTGTAATTGTACCGTCTGACAAAGGTGGAGCTGTTGTGGTCTTGGACAAAATTGACTACAGTAATAAAATCAATGAAATAATTGTTGGGGGACAATACAAACTTCTTAATCGAAATCCGACAAACAGTGTACAGAATAAAATTAAGGCAGCATTAAAGAATAATAAACAATACATTGCTGACAGTACATTTTTCCGACTCAGTCCACAATACTGTAAAGCTCCCCATCTATATGGACTACCTAAGTTGCACAAAGAAAACATACTGTTAAGACCAATTGTGAGTGCTATTGGAGCTCCTACCTATGAGTTGTCCAAATGGTTATTACCTATTTTGTCCCCATTATTTGGCCACTCAACGTCCCATTTAAGAAATTCGGAAGATTTTGTACAAAAGATAAGGGATTATACTCTTAATGACAAGACGATAATGGTCAGCTTTGATGTGACTAATCTATTTCCCAATGTACCTATTGTCCCATGTTTGGAGATTGTTAAACAAAAATTGATGATTGATGACACTCTTCCTGAGAGAACTAAACTACCAATTGACTCAATCATGGAACTGCTCACGGTCTGTGTAAATAACAATTACTTCCAGTTTGAAGATACTTTTTACGCCCAAACGGCTGGCATGGCAATGGGAGGTGTACTAAGTCCCATTTTAAGTAACATCTTCATGGATGACTTTGAACATAAAGCTATTACAACAGCTGAGGTTAAGCCTAGGTTATGGTTGCGTTACGTGGACGATGTTTTTTGCTTGTGGGAAAGTGGCATTTCAGAGCTTAATAGGTTCAAGGAGCATATAAACAGCATTTGTGATACTATTAAATTCACTATTGAATTTGAAAATGATTGTAAACTTCCGTTCTTAGATGTAATGGTGGATAGGTCCTCGGACACTTGGCATACCAGTATGTACAAGAAGCCTACGGCAACAGGACAATATTTGCATTTTGATTCATACCATCCGGACCACGTAAAATTAGGTTTAATAATTGGGCTTATTAAAAAGGCGAAACTAATCTGTAGTGATGAACAGACTTTTCAGCATGAGGTAGTAACTATAAAAAACCGCTTACTTAACAGTGGGTACCCTAAAAGATTCATAAATAAAGCCTTAAGAAAAATATCCAGCTCTGATACAAGTTTACCACCTAAAGATAACAAACCTCTGGCCACAGTATGCATTCCGTATATTAAAAACCTTTCGGAGAAAATACGGCGCGTGAATGCTAAGCAAGGTATTAGGACGGTCTTTACCTCAAAAAACACGATAAGAAGACAGGTATCTAAAGTGAAACCTCCTAACTGTGGTAATGACAATAAAAACGTGGTGTACAAGGTCCCATGCTCGTGTAAACGTAGCTATGTAGGTCAAACTTCAAGACCGGCTCTCATACGGGTTCATGAACACATGAAAAAAGTTGATACACGTGTAACCTATGGTTCAAAAATATCTGAACACGTTCATGACACCGGGCATTGTATAAAGTGGGAGGAAAGCTGTATATTATACAAGGAGCCTAATTGGAAGAAAAGGAATATTATTGAGGCTTTGTTTATTACTTCAGATCAAGATTCATTAGCCAACGCATCCATTGATATCAGCCCGGTTTACAATACACTAATAGAGAAAGAAATTAAAGGATGCATAGAAAAATCTAAACAAAAGAAGATAATGCCATCAGCTGTTCTTGATAACAGAGCCCCCCCTCCCCCTCCTCCACCACCGGGGTCGTCAGTCGTGGTTAGGCGCTCACAACGATTGCGTGAGAAGAGAAATAACCTTGAAAACGCCGCACGTTGATTTTGGTGCGGCGAAACGTCGGTGTTGAGAACTTTTGTCTGATATTTTAAATTTGTATTTATTTTTATTTTTATTTTTGTATATTTTTATGTGCAACGAACTGTGTATGATTGTGACATGACAAGGACTACGTTCTCGTGACTTCAATAAGGTGAGTGATGCCCAACAAAAATATTATCATACTGAAGTATTGACCTCACCTAATATACCATGTCGTTTAAGAATACTAAACTTTTGTTATATTATTTCTTTATCAGCAAGTTTGGTTAGTTCGGTTAGGTTATCATGGTTTAATTTTATAATTAAAAAATAATAAAATTGAATTTGGGACATTTATAATTTTATTTTATGAACGCAAACCTTCATTGCCAAAGTGCTCTCTACTACAGTGCTGTTCACGGAGGAATTTTGAACTAAATGCCTCATTCGTACCTCCCCTAAGTCAGACCCCTCTTTTATACTTATAGATGTCCTCCTCGAATAAGATAGCAGTGAATTAATTTCTTTTGTAGTATCTAGTAGATTGCTTTTTTAGCTAAACTGTGTTTTTTGCCTGTGCTGTATATTTAATACATTTATTTTTGTCCCATTAGCTGGGTCTCGTATATGTTAAGAAGCTACTTACAGTAGGCCTACTTTTATATATACTTAAAACTCTGTACCAAGAAATGTTGTTCCAGGGCTGCCCAGTTGTTTTCATCGCATGGTGGCCGCAAGGACAGTGGACATGTTAGTACAAGAGAGCTCGGTACCCAGCCTGGTAACACCCAGGGCCTTAGTCTAGGTGAGATGTGTAATGGGTCAAAATTATAGGGGGGTAAAGATTTTACATTTATTATCTAATTATCGGTAGGCCTATACCTTACCTGGTTGGTGACAGTGGTAAACCTATCATGGTAAGGTAAATAGGCTGTTTTAGGCCTATCCTAGGGTTGAGTAGGGATAACCTCACTTTTGGCAAAATCACTTAAGACATTATTGTTGAGATTCACAAGTCACAGTATAGTATTGTTGTGTACAAAACGAGTGATAAACCGTTTCCGTGTAACCCCCATACCTAATATACACCTTTGGGAAGTACGGTCAAAGTTGTTGTTTAGGCTAGGGTGGTGAACCGCGATCACAAATACAATATCGCGTACATAACATGCATACACTTTGTCGGACACTAAGTTACACATCACGCCGTGGAAATTATACGCTCTGTTTACATCAGCGATGATCTTAAAGTTCCGCCGTATAATTTCACAGTCGGCGCAGGTGAATAACAACATTAACAACATAACCTGTACCACTAGTCGGCTGTCTTGGCGTTGTGATGTGACAGCGCCAAGTTTGAACTCGTGACGTCACCGATCAGCTGGGAAGATAACCCTCCCTAATCCGACCTAATGGATTAGGGAGGGGGAAAGAGAGGAGATCCCTTGTGGGCTAGGGATACAAGGGACATTCTAATCCTGCGCTTGACAGAGTCAGGACGTAACTTAGTGTTCATAGTGATTTTGCCGCTAACGTGATTTTGCGTAGTGCCAAGAGTGGGTTAGTGAAGATCCCTGGAGTATACAGGTAATTCACCGTTTGTTTTAATAGTGTTTACTATTGTTCAGAGTTATTACTTAGCGATTAACCCTAGACATACAACTCACGGTAGGGTCTTTGTCGGGTGTTGGAACCTGTATAAGTCCGCTTTAGCGTATGCTAGGGCTCCCGTGGGTGACGATAAAGATTCTTAAGGATAAATATTTCATTTAATATTGTGATTACAATATAGATTGAGGGTGACGGGGTTTTAGCGAATATTTTGCCGAGATATTAGATTGGTGTTAAGAACTGCTGCGGGCAAAGTTGAACCCGTCTCTGCAGGTCGTGCAAACACGAGGTCGGGTGGAGCACGCTAAGTATACATCTAAGAAATATTCTAAGTGTTGAAGTTGACGAAACTGCAACATTAATTTGTTTCAACATTTCGTTGAACGTTTTTTTTTCATTATTTTTAAATTTAATTTAATTAGCTGTTCCCAGGGGTGAACGATGATGATGGTACAGTAGCGTTGTTGGTTACCGGTACTGAGTTCACACCTGATTCACACTACATTTTTGCGTCTATACAAATCTGTACCTGTGCTAGTTTTTTGAGTTAATTAAATAAATAATTTTTATCTGAACCCTGGAAACTTCCCAGCACGCCGACTTGAGCGATCTGCTGGCGAGAGTTGGTGACGTCTTTCCCGCTATAACTACGGAATAGCGTATATATTCCGTGCGGGAAAAACGGCACGTTACAGATGTTAGTGTAACAGCTTACACTAGGGGCCACAATAGTCTGCAGTTGGTAGCAGCCAATAGCAAGACTGGACTAGCGCAACGTTGCAACATCGCCCGTTCTATAATTTTTTACACTAATTAATATATACAAAACCAATATTTTCAAATTTTCACAATATTATAAGATTTGGCAACAGTGCGTGCTCCTCATTGGCTCCTTCGAAGTCACGTGGTAAATAGGCTCACCCCTCAACTGTTCGTGGACCATACTGTAGTTATAAACTTGCAAGTTAAAACCATAATATAGAATAAAAATATTTTTCATATTTTTATTGACTGTGAACAAACAGTGATCTACTGTTGGGTAACAGCAGTTTTGTTAGTCATCATTAGACATATGCTACTTATCCTACTGAGAGTCATCAGATCATCATACAGGTGTCTGATCTTGGTACAGTAAACTCCCTCTTATCCGGACACCTTTTAACCGGACATCGGTTTAACTGGACTACACTCGGCGGAAATGACATCTCTTTAACCGGATAATTTTTATCAGCAAATTGGTTTAACTGGACTAGATCGGCAGGAAGTGGGCAGTACTGAAACAACTGTTCTCGTGGGAAAGATTTGAGACCAGTGATAACGTGTCTAAATACAACGCTCTCCTAAATTTAAGTTGAATATCACAGTAAACAGTCCGTTTTAACGAGTTTTTGAGGACGTCGGTTTAACCGGAAAACCCGTTATCCGGACTGGCCTCGGTCCCGAGGAGCCAGATAAGAGGGAGTCTACTGTATATGTGTTACAGCCTATGTGTCTGGTGGAGAGAACAGTGATCTACTGTTGGGTGACAGCGGTGTTGTTAGTCATCATCGGACCTCCACCACCTCTCCTACTGAGAGTCATCAGATCATCATACAGGTGTCTGATCTTGGTATATATGTTACAGCCTATGTGTCTGGTGAAGAGAACAGTGATCTACTGTTGGGTGACAGCGTTGTTGTTAGTCATCATCGGACCTCCACCACCTCTCCTACTGAGAGTCATCAGATCATCATACAGGTGTCTGATCTTGGTATACAGGGTGATTGATATAAGTGTGCCAGCGGTTTTATTCGAAAACTATAAGAGATATCAAAAAAAGTTAAATGGTAAGTGCCTTGGATTTTTTATTAAAAAAATTATAGTCAAGTCAAAAAAAATATTTTAGCCGCCATTTTTCCAATATGGCCGCCAACTTTGATTTTTCTTATGGAACACCCTGTATTTTATGATGTATTCTGGTAGAACAAGTTATTTTAAGACGATTTTATTCTTGTGATTTTTTTTATAAACCTAACCGTTTTAAAGATAATAATGGTTAAAGTTGTGAAATTTTGAGTGGTTTTCGAGCAAAACAGCTGGCATGCTTTCTTAGGCCTTTATCAAAACTCTTTCTCATGCAGAAATTTCAAAACTTTAACCATTATTATCTTTAAAACGGTAAGGTTTATGAAAAAAATCACAAGAATAAAATCGTCTTAAAATTACCTTTTCTACCAGAATACATCATAAAATACAGGGTGTTCCGTAAGAAAAATCAAAGTTGGCGGCCATATTGGAAAAATGGCGGCTAAAATAAATTTTTTGACTTGACTACAATTTTTTAAATAAAAAATCCAAGGCACTTACCATTTAACTTTTTTTGATATCTCTTATAGTTTTTGAATAAAACGGCTGGCACACTTATATCAATCACCCTGTATAGGCCGGGCGCTAAACGGGTTGAGTATGCACTGAAAGTCTGACAAATTTTGACTTTTGATTATTGTTGGGGACATCTAGTAGATGAAAAAAATCGATGATGTCGCATTTCTAGGGTGGTCATAACACGGGGGGGAGGGGTGGAAGTTGCGCACGTCAGTCGTTTACGTTTCTGCGTCTAACTCTGAAATGGTTAATGATAGAAAGGTGGTTTAAGCGTCTATCTACGCCTAAATATATTGTCTTTCAAAAAGGTTATTACAACCTTTCTTCTATCTCTTATACTTTAGGCGCTAATCAACATTTATTGAAAAAAATAAAATTAAAAAATACTTTTAAATGAAATATTGGAAATATTGCGCTTGTTTAGGGCATGTTACAAACTATTTATGGTTAGAAAAACTAACAACACCAAGTTTAAAGAAATCTGTGCAAAAAAAACAGAGCTACGTTGATTTCAGTAAGAGTATGCGTGGGAAATTCGTAGTAGTGTTGACTGTAAATACAGTATCCTTAGTATCGAGGCGCGCCAAGGATAGCAAGTTGCGTACGTGATCGGTTTGAATGCAACAGGCTAACTTAAATTTAAAGTAACATTATTGAGTTTTGATATGGAACCTATAAATGACGTCAACAAGGAAATACCACATAAATATAACAGATAAAATTATTATTAATAATATTAACTAATTTACTACATAAGGTTGAACAAGTTTCAGTTACTTACTTTTAGATGTATTTGAGGTACACTAAGTTTTTATTTTATCCCTCTTCAATTTACGTTCAATTAATATTAATTTCATTTACATATTTGCACTATTTACAATGTTTATTTACATTTTGGTTCAAAATTCAGCTTTTTGTAATTCTGATGGCTTACTTGTCTCCCTAATCTTCGCTCTCTTCATATTTTTTTACATTTTTGAAAGGGTTCTTGCAAGCACTTCCACATTTACAATATGAGCAACAAGAAGACTTGTTTTTTGAGCAACCACATGTGTTCTTTGAACAGTTTTTGCACTTGCAGGGTTGAATTAATGATGCTGGAGTCGCTGGAAGAGTCATTAGTAACGAGCGGAATGTATTATTTTTGTCTTTGTAATATCCATAGCTTTCCTGATCCAATGGTTCAACAAATCTTTGAAGACAGTTTTCCCATAGATGTAACTGAGCAGCACATCTAAGGATGTGCAGTTTGTAGCAGTCAGATGTGCATGCTAATTTGCTGAGATTTTGAATAGCAGATTGAGTGGTGGAAAACTCAAGAAAGCGGCTCTCATCGCATGATTGGCCTTTCTTTTTAATAAGTTGAAGGTATAGCAACTCTAATTGGTGAATAGATTCCTGGGATATTGACAAGTGACATAACGACAGCAGTATAGGGTAGGAGTTTTCATTTTTCATAAAGTATTTAAATGCTGTCTTTTTTGTACTTATTTTACTGGTAGTGTCGCATCCGGTTAAAGCATGAATTGCAGGCAGCACTTCGCATAAATCTTTTCCTAAGGATGATGCGGCAATATGACATCCTAAACCCCTTCTTTTGTCCCCGGTGCCAACTCTCATCCATAATCCTTTAGAACCCAGTTTTTAAAATTCTACCCAGAACCTGATACCTAGAACAAATACGTCTGTGTCCGGGCTATGGATAATAACATGCTCAACGTTTGTGTCAGAAGTAAGGCAATCATTAACGTGAATATACATTCTGGTGTCAGCTTCAATATGATTACTAGCCAGGTTTGGCATTTCAGAGATCTCGCCTGTATCATATTT